TGATGCTTATTCTTATATTTCACAGTTCCCTCATGTTCTGGCACAATATTGTTCATAGTCACTGTTAGTAGTTTCTTCCCAGTTTAGGTTCCTGTTTAGTTGTTGTCCCTGTTCAGTTCTCGTTTAGTTTAGTTCATGTACTCCAGCCTCAAATAAAGGCTCGCCTTTTGTTTAAAGTTAATTTGGTCTGCTTATCTGTGTCCGCACCTGGGTCCTCCAAACACTCTCCACACAGTCAGCCACTGTGGATCATGACAAGATCGGTGCCCATCCCAAAATGAAACACTCTGGCATTTTTAAACAGGCTAGTTGTCTGTACTGTGGGGGATTTAACTTAAAGAACAGTGTGTGACTGGTGCACAGTGGCCGTGGTTTCATGGTCAGAGTCAGGTTACATCGAGTGTATCATAGAGTCCATATGAATTTCAGGTGATGATGCTGAGATCAACTGACTAAATTCCACCTTCATACCAACTTTATACTAACTAGAAAAAGCATAAACAGTGTACTTCTAGAGGATTGAAATCAGCCAGGACAACTCATGAAACATCTGCTGACATCTGGTTAAATTTGGTTGTGTACATCCATAAAGAGCAGCTTGTACACTAAGAAAATCTACTGGACTTCTCAATAGAAATTATTATGAGTTATGATTCTTTTCCCCACACTGAACCATTACAACCAGTTTTAGGGATCCTCAAACCTGTGAATCCACTTTAATCCCCGATTGTACAAATTTTCCTGTTTAGAGGCAATTGTTTTAATTTTCTTTTTCTTCTGATTCAAGCTGAGTATAATTAGAATTTTAAAAAGTTAGACTGAAGTTTGTATTCTTATCCATTGATATTACTTTATCATTATGTTAATATAACACAAGGTTCAGTTAGCTTTGCACAAAATAGAAATGTCCTCTAAAGAGCTACTTTTTACTTTCTCGGTTTGAACACATTTCAAAGCCTGTACTTTTTTACTTTTACTTGAGTAAAGAAGTTGAATCAGTAATTCACTTTTACTGGAGTATTTGTTAACAGTAGTGTTTGTATTTCTACTTAAGTACAGAGTGTCTGTGCTTTTGTCAACTCTTACTAAGCTTAGGACCTGAGGATGGAATAGCCGAGGAACAACAATTTAATAAATAGACTCATGTGTGCAACCAGAGTTTGAAGTCCAACAGTATGTCAGAACCCCAGCCTCAAAACGTTGGCAAAATGAATGACAAGCTTTCATAATTTTTCTGAGCTTCTATGACCTTCTCTTTGTGGCTTTTTTGTCCTCATAGAAGCTCTATTGAGACAAGCGCACTTTTACAGTCTGGTGTTTTAATGTCATTAAGATTCACCAAGTCTTCCTGTTTACAAGCCTGCACATGTCACAACACACACAAGCAGAAGGATAAAAATGTAAAATCTGTTTTTGTATCATGTGTCTGACTTTAAGTGAAGTGTCCTATCGAATGGGCCAAATTTGGAATGAGCTGTTACTTTAAATCCACTGAGAGGAAAATTTGGTCTGAGAGCAGGGACGACTGTCAGTCCAGAGGAGCCAATCTGGTGATCATAAACAACAAAGAGGAACAGGTGGGTGTGTTTGTTTGATGCAACTGCCAGAGGTTCTGTGTTTTTGACCATCTGTCCATCTACTGTCTATTGGTCTATCTATTCTATAAAGGACAAGAGAAGTGAACTGAAATGTTTCATCTCATTTAGTTTTTCTTTCAAACAAATTCACAACATGATATTACTACAACAGAAGTACTGAATTATGATTGGTCGAAATATTTATGTCTGTTTTCAATTAGGAATTTATTGAACTGAATATGAGAGGAGAGTCCTGGATTGGTCTGACAGCCGGTTACAAAAGTAAAACTGGGGAACATGAATGGGAATGGGTGGATGGATCCCCGCTGACAGAGGCGTGAGACATTTTCCTTTAAATTAAAACCAAAAAGTTATTATTTAATACCTCCATGTGTTGGAAGACAGAATGGCAATACATTACATCAGCAACCGAATATATGACCCACGTATAACCGATGTCTGTAAACAGCTGAGAAAATATTTTCAAAGAGCAGAGAGTCAGCTCTGCCTTCTTTTTATTCTAAGATTTAAGAGCATGAAGATTTAATATTCATAAAAAACTTGAAAACTGTTAATGTACATGATGATACTCAGAGAAAAGTCTAAAGCAGGTCAATTGCGACAGAAATCTGAAAAAATGCTTATAGAGAGTCATAGTTATATAAATGTGACAATTGACATGATTTTAGTCTAGTTTAATATAATTTTTTTTTTTTATCCAACAGGTTTTGGGCGCCAGGCTGGCAGGAACCTGATCATGGTTTTTCTGCAGTATGCTGTGAAATTAAGGGAAAATGGACACGATCACAATCTTCTGTATCCAAGACCTGGATCTGTGAGAAATGATTTTTGACTGATGACATAAGGAAAATTAAAATTTCTGAATAATCCAAGTAGTTCTCCAACTTCAATTAGACATCATTAGTGTTAAATCATGTACCACAATGGATCATTTTAATGTTCATATTTTTTGACTTGGTATTCTAATATTTTATTGTTTGCTTAGGTTATTGATCATTGGTTTTGGACAGAAGTTTTTTTTTTCCTAAGGATGCAGGAAAGATTATCGCTGATTAATATGTATTTTAAGAATTCAAAACATTAAGAGTTACAACTGTTTTGAATTCTTAAAATCTGTTTTCCATTAACTTTTAATGAGAAACAGATTATATGCACATAATAAAATGTTTGCAGAATATGCAACAGAGAAAAATAGAATGGAAAATATAAATGTAAACTGTAAAATCAATTGTTTATTTTCTTAATGGAATAATGACACACACACACACACACACACACACACACCCTGATAATGGTGGCCACGGTGAACCGTCCTGCTTCAGCCATTGTTGTGCCATGGACAATGACATGGTCAATGACTGTTGCTCGCATCTCGTCCGTAATGATTGTGCGAGGTTATCTTGCTCTCCCTCCTGGACCTTCTCCTCTCCCATGTTGGCCTCCTCTTCTTCCAGGGCCAGCTCTTCCCCTGACTCTGCCTTCATCCATGGTGTTTGTTTGGACTCTTCAGCATACTGTGCACTCTGAACTTGCTTTTATACATGTGGTCACAGCATTAGCAACAAGTGTCTTCAATTTTGAGTCATTGTGTGTAATGAATGATGCCAGGTGTGTTCATTGTGTTCAAATATTGCTGACTGTGGCAAGCATGTTGCATCACATGAGCTTTCATTTGAGAATATGAGCAGAGTTCTTTTGCAACTTGTGTTTTAGCAAGGAAAGATGTGTTTAGATTTATGACAACGGAGGATTGTGTTCTGTGAATTGTGTCTTCATGTGACATGTGTTTATGATATTGGTAAATGATGGTTAGATTTAGTAAATGTGTTTAGACAACTGGTCATTTGGTTTAGAGGATTGGCTTTTGTGTTTTAGCATTTGAGAAAAACTGTAATATGAATTCTGAAGTAGCGGTGTCACGCTGCCGGCATGAAGAGCTGCAAGACCGGACCGAGCATCATCTGGCGCTGATTGAGATTCTCCAGAGGCCAGAGCGCACACCGGAGTAGTGTCCGAGTTACTGTCATCGCCTTGTCGCTGGACCTAGGGCTGTGTACGCCGACGGTCAGGGCCGATTCCCTCTCCTGCTCGCGGAGGGGTGGGGGTGTCATGTTCGTGCTATTGGGTCTGCCGTCGTCATTCACAACCATGATTTAATTGTAGCACCAAAACTGTTTTGGGAAGTGCTTCTGCACTCAACCGTTTATTCATGCATCTTTAAATATGTAACGGATTAGCCGTGCAATTCGTGAATAATACAAATACAAAGCAAATTTTAATATAGAGGTCCAACTAACTGTGTGCATTGCAAGTAAATACAGAAGAAGATGATTCAGATCTAAAACAAGATAGACTAAGAGAATTATATTCTAGAAGTACACAATACTAATCATTAATACATTTATATCAGTACTGACCATTAAAAAAAATGTAATCATAAAGAAGTAGTGATTACAATTTACAGTGATTACAACACAAAACTATTTTTTTCAGTACTATATGTGTAGGCTTATTTAAGGACACAATTAAGCTTTAAGATTCAGTTGATCAAAGTATAAATTTGTGCTTAAAAATCATAATCTCTGTACGGAAGGTGGGGAAAAAAAATCACACCAACACAAACACATGGCTTTTACTTTACTACAAGTGTAACTACACCACTAATATAAAGAATATGAAGAGGAGTACAATATGCTTAAAAATGTACACGTGGCATTCCCATACAAACTGCAATACTCATCATAACACGAGTTATGAGTACATTCTTTTTAGAGTTACTCAGAAGCATATTGTGAGGACACTCCAAACAGTACGAAAAATGAGCAGTCAGTGTACATCAGATAATTAATATAAGTCTCCCAAAATAAATTCAGTTTATCTTAACTTTTCAGAAAAACCTTCAAATCAAAAACTGAAATCAGTATTTCATGCTGTCAGTTTGCATTAGTCGGACTGAATTTAACTATGCATAATTGGATATAAATGGCAATAATGCAGCATCTTTATCAGATATTAAGAGACACTTCAATTTTCAGCTTAGTGAAAAATTCACCATCATTAATGTGGTCAAAAGCCATGAGTTGTTTGGAAAGTATGCCAGTACACTATGTCATACTTTCCACAAAACTCTTGGATTATCTGTGCTACTCGCACTAATTTAACAGCCAGCACAGAATCTGTTTGCCATGGATTAACTATTCCCCCCAGGGTAAAGTCATACAGAGAGTGGAGAGCAGAACTGCTTGCAGGTGAATCAGGTTTGTGGATTTAGTCTCTCAGACTGCTCGGAGATATTATCAGGAGCTGTAAGATCAAAAACATACAGTCAGGACAAGTTTTCTTGATTTTTCAAAGGATAATAAGTAGTGATTGTAGGATTTACAGGATACTCAAACTTTTGAGTATCCTATAAATCTTGTGACCTTCCCCCCACTGAATACTATGTCCCACTATCCTCAAACATTTCTCTTTGTGTTTAAGTGATCATTTCCTTCTCGTGTCATCATTCTACTGTCATCTCGCTGTGGCCTGTAACGTTGGGTTGTGTTCAGTGGTTGAGAGGAGGCGGTAGAAACCTTAGCAGGATAGTAAGAAGAATACACGATCACACTGGTACTAGGAATTCCACAGTGTATCCTTTAATTAGGGTGACCAACCGTCCTCTTTTCTCCAGACATGTCCTCTTTTCACGTTCTGTCCGGGAGGATTTTCGAGATTGATAAAAGTGTCCGGGTTTTCCTATATTCTGACAGAGGACCCATGTGTGTGACGTCATCCCCAAACTGCTGCTTTGTGAGCGCTTGTTCTGCACTCACAGACAGGACAGATAGCGCACAGCAACACGCTTAACGATGTTTAAAAGATCCCAAAGCGTAAGTGCATCTTTCAGATGAACTGCAAAAGAAATTTCCCTCGTACCAACCATACCTGGACTGGCCATCGGGCATACCGAGCATATGCCCGGTGGGCCAATGGTGATTTTTCATTTTTATGGGGCGATGGGTTTTTTTAGTAACAGTATAAACAATGAAAGGTGGTGGATTGGCCAGATGCTGGCTGATGTGTAAAAATAACTCAGTTGTTTGGTGGTGGTTTCTATGGCGGAGCTTCCACAGAGGCCAGCACGTGGATGAGGGAAAGGGAAGGCAGGAGGAAGAGAGACGGTCCACGTGTCAGGTGAACTGAACTTCAGGTAACAAGTTGTGACTGCAGTCTGAGTCAGATATAAACCAAGTTTAGGTGGAGTTTATTTTCGTTGTGCTGACTTTTTACAGTCAGTTACAATAACTCGTACTGCGTACTAGCTAGCATGACGGTGTTTCTATACAGCTGGGGGGTGCTATGTTACTGATGTTGAACTTTATTCATAAGGTTCTAGTAGAGTTGCATAAAAAGCGGAATCATCCCGTATTCAGAGAAAATATTACGCATTTCGTAGTGAGCTGAAAAGGAACACAGTTTGTCCCGTAATTCAGCTAGAATGGAAAAAGACAAAGCTGGAGTTATTCTGCATCTTTACGGTGCACAGCTGCCTCTTCTTCTCTCATTCTCTCCCCCTCCCTCTCCCGTTTCTACTTAAATCATGATACTGATCAATGATCAGCTGATCAGCTTTTCTCTCTTGTTTGTTTATCGCCCACTTGGCGCCAGAAAAAGGAAACCAGCAGATGTCGCGCTAAACAACAGCAGCACGTTTAAGCTCGATCAGCTGTTGTTAGAATGTATTTAATATTAATTTCTAGTATCAGCTGATGTTTGCTGGAGCCACAGCTGTAAAGCTGCTGGTCATGATATTGGTTTGGATATGTGGTGAGAGGGAAACATGAGGATGAAACCAGGAGATGTCCTTACTGAATCATCAGAGCTGAAGAGGTGATGGAGAAACAGGTTTACCGTTTAGGTGACATGAATGAGTTAAAGTTATGAGCTGTTTCTGAGAGACAAATAACACCAGGATCCTTTTCTAAGTAGCTGACAGCTGGTAACTGTGCAGGGACGGGTCTAGCAAAGTTTTGCCAGGGGGGCAGGTAGGGCATTAACAGGGAGAGGGGGGCACAAAGATATACGTTTCTTTCTTATTCTCATTTAAAATGTCTCGCTTTTAATAAATAATTATCTGAATCTTACAACCAAAGTTTTTATCTGATGTAAAATGTATAGAAATCGTACATATACCAACAAGACTGTACATCACTGTCACAACAGCGTTTGTTTTCATTCAAAGGCTTTCTGGTTTTTCCAATAATACCTGGTGGGCCAGTCTCTAGTCAAAATGCCGGAGCCGATTTTATGTTTCTTTAAGCAAGTTCTTCATGACCAAGCCAAGTATCCTCTTTTTTGGAAATCAAAATATGGTCACCCTACTTTAATGCACATTGTCTTCATCAACCATACAAGGCCCGGTTGAACGGCTGCTGCTTATCAAACATGACAGACAGTGTTCATACAACCTGTGACGTTGCAAAGGTTTCTGGAGAGGTAAAACATATGAAGTCCGTCTCTCTCCATGTACTAGCGTGCAAGCTCGTTGCTCACATAAATCATATAGAGGGCAGTGGTGCATACTAATGACATCATAAACCCTCGACATGTGTTATATTAAAGAGACACCACACCACTGTGACTGTTACAGGCTCTATGCATTATTCTGTCACTATAGATTTTGGGTGTCTTCAAACAAACAATTGAAAATATGGATTAAAATAATGTAAAAACTAAACTCAGTATTTTCTCAATTGAGATTTCTCACCTTTTTTCTTTTTACAAAACACAAAAGCCACGACTGCCATGATGATGATGATTAGAACAACCACCGCAGCACTGATGAAGATCAAGCTGTCAGTGGGATTCTCTGTTAAAGAAAATATGGCAAAATTTTATAATCCAGAGCATAATTGCTAAAGAACGAGTGAGGGATAGATCAGAAAGGAACTAAGAGTGGATGAGTCTGAGTGACACAATAAGCTGCACGAAAGCATTACTAGTTAGTCTTTACAGATTACTTCAATATTCGTTACTGCATATGGTACTTCATTGCTTTTGGATTCCTTAATGCCGTCATTTATTTTAAGATTTCTATGACATATTTACATTTATTAATGGTCACAGTAGTAGAAAGAGTATTGATTAAGGATTTAAATTCCAGGATCAAGTCTTACCCAGGTTGGTCCAGATCACTGCTTTGTCCAGTTTGGTGATAATGTCCTCGTTCACACCAGCAAGCTGAAACACACAGTCGTACCTCTGCCAGTCTTCAGGTGTGATTGATGAAAGTTTCAGATCAACACTCATCTGAAAGGTCCCATTATTGTTGGGGAGAATCTCTCCATGATCCACGCCATCATGAATCTCTTCTCCATCTTTCCTCCAGAACATCATGGCTCTGTCAGGATAGAAACCTGTAGCGTGGCAGCTGACTGGAGAGGAGGGAGTCTTCTGGAGGAGAAACACTGAGGGAAGAACTGGAGAGGGGAGTTATTTAATTCGTTTGATTTTTATTTTACTTTAGAAATGGTAAAGTCTGTGGAATTTCTATTTTACTACATAAAATTATGTAATTTTACCTGCTGACTGCAAAAAGCTTCTTCCATTACGCAAAAACTCCTTTAAAAGCTCAGGGCAATAATGAGTAAAATAGTATTTATTTAAGTCTAATCGAGCTTTTTCAGTATCCCATCTCATTTTGGTGATGAAAGCCTGTGGTTTTGGAGCAATCCATGTCACTGTCTGCAGGTCGAAAGCTAGAAAGTCTTCTCCATTATAACCATACTGATTAAAACCATTAATCTCTCCGGTCTCATCATCCCATTCACAGCCATTCATCCTTTGCAGTATATGAACTCCTTAAAAGAGACACAGTAAGTGCAGGTAACCAGTGAGATGTCAGAACTTATAGCCTATAACACATCTTTACCACAAAGAAACAATGCAAACACAAAAATAGAGGCCCTACACTTACTGTTGTTTTCAAAAAAACCAGACCATCTGGGTTCACTTCTTTTTCCTCTGGATTCAATCACTTTTTCTTCTTTTCTTTTCTCATTTTAGCAGTGTGGGGGAAAAATGTAAGATTTCCATGTCCTTTCTAACCTATTCTAAATGCTGATGTGTTTGCTATTTTAGGGCAAACCGGGATAATAAACATTTCAGCAATAGCAAGTGAAACAAAGTCCTACCTTCAGTTTGGTTAAAACGTTGCCTCAAAGTCTCAATGTTAGACTTGAAGAAGGAAATATCATCCAGGCATTCTGAAATATGATATTGCAGGCGAGGATGATGATCCTTGAAAAACGGAATCCAGTCTTCCTTTACTTTTATTCCTCTTATGCTATTGCAGTCACCTAATTGAATTTCATTAACAAATGCAACAGCTACAAACTCAGGGACATCCGGGACTCCAGTGGTTCCAGTAGATAAATATTTCAAGGAATGTTTTACTGTAAAATTGATGGGGCACTGAATTAGTTACATGATTTTACAAATTTAAAGAAGGCTAAATATTAACTAAAACTTATTTCAGGTTCAGCATTACCTTGTAAAAAAATAACTGAAAACAAAGTAGTAATTGGTAAAAAAAACCCTCACACTTACTGCCCTTAAAAATTACATTTCCATTAATAAAAACTGTAGTTACTCCCACTCCTTCAAACATGCATGGCCAATATCGCCAAACGATTACAGCACACTCTCAAATCCACATCTACAGCTAGGAATCACTAATCAGCTGGCTCCTGCAGACACTCTGACCATGACATTTCAGAGCTGCACACATTTCCTCCTACTGACAATATTAACAACAGAATGGAATGGCTTTATTTTCATTGTACAAACATACAACAACCGTCACGGTGCAGAACATTGAAAATGCAAGATAAAAAGGTAAAGAAACTGACAAACTCACAGCCAAGTGTGAAACGGATCAGGAATGAGATGGGAATGGATACGAATTTTGCGCTTCTGATTCCATTATCGATATTACTTATCCATTCGATTCCTTATCAGTTTTCTTATTCTCACTAGCACACACCAACGCAAACCCCTATCGTGATGGGAACATACTTATGACACTTTCTTAATTTAGGTATGAACACAAAGCCAAGTGCACAAAACAAAGTTGTAAAGCAGAAAAAATACATTTCAAAGCGATAGCCACGGTCAGTAGCGGTTTTTCATACGGGCGACACAGGCGGTTGCCCGGGGCGGCATCGTGGTGGGGGGCGGCGT